CTCCTGGTTGGGAAGCAAAGCTCCTCCCCTGAGCAAACCAGTATCCTAGAAAATTATTTGGCATGGGAATTTTCCCAATGTTTTCTGAGCAAAGGAAAGAGGGCAAGAGGTAGGAAAAGAAAACAGACACAAAATAAGGGATGCAGCTACTGCAATAGAAGAAGTCAAAGGAAGCTAATGGGCAATGATAAATTAACCTAAACTTTATGACGATGAGAAAGAATAAATTAGTTTTCTTTGGCCCAAGTCTACAAATCTTTTTAGTGTTTTCAGACGCTAAAACCACCAAAACTCTAGTTTTATTATCAATATTAGTTGCTTAGCAGCAACTAAGAGCCACAGAAGTCAAGGAATCATCCCTTTGGCACCATGCAGCCAGAGGCACCATTTGGAGAGCCCCACCTCCAGGACCACAGAGGATCCTGTCACCTGCCAGTCACACCACACAAGATGCCACTGCCTCACAGCAGTCTGCTGCCAACAGCAGCCACGGGGATCACACAGGGGCCTGTGTTCTGCCAGGGTTAAGGCAAAACTGCAGGAAGCAATATAAAATTAAACAGCCAACAGACACAATGCGCAATTTTCTGCAAGATTGCCAGTGCTGGACCATAGGCGGTTGCATCTGCATAATTAAAACTGGTTTGTTTTGCTGCATTAAAGCCACAAATCAGGCATGTAACCACAATGAGGGAGAGACATTTATTTAGATTTCTGGCCAGCCAGACCAAAAAAACCCCCAGAACTGTATGTCTGAAAACACGCACTTTAAATTGTGCATCCAAGGATCCGCTGTGCTCTGTATTCTGCAGGCAGCTGTCATGTGGCAGTTGTAAATCTGCAGCCATATCTCCATTGGTGTTTATTTTTAACACCACCACTCCTGTCTGCAAGGCTAAGGAAAATAAGAAAACCTAAAAGTATTCTTAAATATTTTCTTTCTGGTACCACCCAGCAAGCATCTCCTGCCAGTGCCGGGGCCAGCTCTCCCCTCTCTGGACAGCTGGAGGGTGCAAAGCAGGAGAGAAGGACAGAGCCTGGATAACTGACAGCAGAGATGGGCAGCAGCCTGCCAGCGCTGCGTGTGTGCAGCAGAGGTGAGGGAGAGGTCTCCGTGCACGGGCAGGCAGCAAGCGCTGCAGAGCTGCAGGAGCTGCGCTGCAGCCGCCGCGGGCAGCAGCCATCACAACTCCCACTCCCAAAAAGCAGAGCGGCACCGACCCAGGGCCTCGCACAGCCCCAGCACCGTCAGCCCTGCGCCAGCCCGGGAACAGCGTGTGCAGCACAGACCCACATCACCCCACACACCCCCGCTATCTCTCCAGGCATTTTCAGGACAACTCCTTCCCACCATGGGAGGAGCAGACACAATTCTCCAGGGAAGGAACAGAGCCATCATGGCCAATAAATCACCCTGTGCATGAAGATAATTGCCAGTTCAACGCTCCCCCTTCCAATCTCGCTCCCCACACGGCGCGTGGGCTCCTCGATTGCTGGACCGAGGCTGCAGCACCCGCAGGTCGGGCAGGGCTCGGCTCCCATCCTGCAGCTGCTGACAGCCACCCCCGAACCAGCCCAGCCCTTGCTCTAATGCCCAACAGCCAGAGCTAGAGGCTTCAGCCAAACTTCCCCGAAAGCAGCCTCAGTAACTTTTCCCCCTCCGTGTCCCTGCAGGTGCCTTGCCAGCTCCTCTCTGGTTTGACGCAGCTGAGGCGCTGCTGGCAGATCATCGCCTCACCCGGCGCTGCTGGCACTCACACAGCAGCACCTGCCCGCTTCCAGCCCCCTCTGACCTCGTCTTCAAATGCATTTCCAGTGCAGCTTTGCTGGGGTTACTTCCTTCCATGCTCGCTGACATGCGCCCTGCAGCTCACACGCAGGGTTTTGCACCTTTCTCCCTTCCATTTTCCTGTCCGTGCCGTGGGGACAAACACTGTGTCATGTTCAGATTCCAGGCCCATCCTCCGTAGCACGAGATCACTGCTTTCAGCACTTCTGTATCAACACTTTGGTTCTTAGTCCCCCTTGCCACCACTTCCCCTCTTCTTTATCCCTATTTCTCTTCCATTTTATCTTTCTCTGGAGGTTTGGGCATCTGTCTTCATGAGGGTAGCAAGGGATTAGATATGAACAGTGTAATGACTCAATCCTTGAAGAAAATAAACAGGATATCTGGGATAACAAGGCAGTCTACATCAATCCTTCAGTCAAGCCAGGAGAGACCACAGTGGGCACAGGTGGAGGTGGGTGTTCATGGTCACTGCCACAGCCTCAGAGAAAGCTTAGATGATCACAAACCCTGACCCATGTCGGGCTGGCACACTCAACACACAGCTGAGCACAAAAGAGCCCTCTCCTTCTGCAGTGCATCCTCGGCCACCAGCCCTCCTTGGTCCCTACAAATGCAGTGCCCAGCTGCTGTCCTGCCTGCTCAGCCACGCTTGCTCACATTGCTCCTGTTCAGAGAGGAAGCACAGGCCACAGCAGAGGATCCCTCTGAACTCGCATGGCTATCCTCCTCCAACAGTTTAGCAAGGTGGGAAAATCAGGACCACCCTGGTCCCCACAGAGAGGTGACAGCAAGTGATGGCTGCCCAGTCACAGCTGTGAGGACGGGGGCCCTGCATCCCACCATGGTCACCCCAAGACCACCGTGGGGCTGTAACAGAGCCAGTGTGTGCAGGGACGGAGCTGCCACCTCCCCAGGGGCAGGCAGCACACATACACACGGGCTTTGGGGTGACTGTGCCCAGCTCTGCCCAGCCACAGGCACAGGCACACCCTGCCAGCATAAGAATTAGCCTCTATTCAGCTGAAAACACAGAGCAAGTACCCTGTATCAGGAATCAGACATTCCTGGAGGTGTAATTATGCACGGAACAGTACCAAGGAAATTATTACTGGCCCATCAGCAAACTGTCTGCATTACAGCCGCCCCAAACGTGATCACTGTGGTGTAATGTAACACCCTCACACACACTCCAGCATTAACTGCCTCACATATGGAAACCATGAGGCTGCAGAAGCCAGGCCAAGAATGATCATGGCCCGGGAGTACTCCAGTCACAAGCAACAATCAGAATAAACACTGGAGACATCCAGAGCAAAGCTTTTGGAACAGCTCAGAACCAGTCCTGCCCCCAGTGACCCCTGAGCACCCGAGAAGCAGGAATCACCCAGCCCAGGAGATCTTTGAGAATAACACGAAACCATGGGACAGTCTCTAGGAACAAATGCAAATCCCCTCCCATAAAACGAACAATACCACAGACTAAAAGAATATTTCATCTGCTTAACTGCAGGGTGCAATAACATCAATTTGCCCAAATTACACACAAGCAGAAAGGTAATTGGCACCGAGCAGGGCGTGTTGTGACTGCTCCGTCACTCTCCGAGGCCAGCTACAAAAGGCTGAAATTCACGAAAGTAAACAATGGCACGAAACCAACAGCCAGCCCCTTCCCCAGAATCCCTCCCTCTGGCATCGCGCTGCCGCAGTTGGGCAGAGACTTTTCCAAGCGGAGTCTGTGCAGCCCAGCCATCACCCAGCTGAGCTGGGGTCTGGAGAAAAATGGAAGCTCTCGAGTTTGCACAAGCACAGGTTAATCTGCAGAAAAGCTATTTTACACTTTTAATTAACCACGTCCTGGACTTAAATATAATGAAGTGGTGAACACATACCCATACAAAACAACTGAGCGAAGAGAGAGCGGAGCTGGTTTTATATAATAGCGGGGGGACTGAAGGAGGCAATGCAAGTGAAAGGCATGAAGTAAGCAGCTGAGAGTATCCTCCGTCTGAAGGTGGGAAAAGGAACTGTCATCAGCTAACAGAATTAGCAATTATCGCAATAAGGAGTTGATTTATTAAGCTATCCAGAAATGCCCATTACTACAGTTTGGCACCAATGTGAAAATGCCTAGGTGTGCAACAGACAGAAGGGTACACTGGCTCATTCCCTGGGTGTGCAATAGAAGATTACACTGGCTCATTCCCTGGGTGTGCAACAGACAGAAGGGTACACTGGCTCATTCCCTGGGTGTGCAATAGACAGAAGATTACACTGGCTCATTCCCTGGGTGTGCAATAGAAGATTACACTGGCTCATTCCCTGGGTGTGCAACAGACAGATTACACTGGCTCATTCCCTGGGTGTGCAATAGACAGAAGATTACACTGGCTCATTCCCTGGGTGTGCAATAGAAGATTACACTGGCTCATTCCCTGGGTGTGCAACAGACAGATTACACTGGCTCATTCCCTGGGTGTGCAATAGACAGAAGATTACACTGGCTCATTCCCTGGGTGTGCAACAGACAGATTACACTGGCTCATTCCCTGGGTGTGCAATAGACAGATTACACTGGCTCATTCCCTGGGTGTGCAATAGACAGAAGATTACACTGGCTCATTCCCTGCGTGTGCAATAGACAGAAGGATACACCCGCTCATCTCCCTCTGCCTCCAACCCGCCCAGCCCTTCCCTGGGCTGCAGAGCTGGCATGTGTCACAGGGTACAACTTTGCTTCGAAACAATTAACTTGGAGCCTGGGATTTGCTGCTCAGTGGTCTCAATAGACAAAACCTCCAGTTTTATTCCTCTCCAACACCCAGGAACGCAGCGACTGCCGCACAGCTCCGCACCCCGCACCACTACCGGCACTTGCATAATAATGACTGCGGGCCTGGAGGCGAGGGGCCGGAGCACGAAGGCGAACTTCCTTACATAAGGACCGCAGGATCGATGCCCTCCGCACCGGGAGGCCGCGGGTAGCGCTCCCGACCCCGCACGGCGCGGGGCTCCCTCAGCCGCCGCTGCCCGCTGAGGGCGGCCCCGGCCAGCGCCGCCCCGGGGGCTGAGCGACCTCTGCCATCGCCGCGGCTCCGGGGGCTGAACGACCTCTGCCCATCGCAGCCCCGCGGCCGGAGCCGGCCCGTCCCCGCCCCGCCCCGCACACAAAGGCGGCCCCGCCGCGCCCGCACCGGCCCGCGCTCCGCACCTTTGACCTGCGCCTCGTAGTCGGCGATGATCTCTTTGTCCTTCTTGAACTTGCCCTGCGCTGACATCGTGCGGGAGGGCGCGGGCCCCGCCGGCCCCGCCGGCACCGCCGCGCTCCGCCGCCNGGGCGGCCCCGCCGTGCTCGGCCCGGCCCGTGTCCCGCCCGCCGCGGGATGTGTCGCTCTCCCCGCGTGTCCCCGTCCCGGAGCGGCCCCTCCGCAGCCCGGGGCTCGGCACCGTGCGGCCGCCGCTGGGACAGCGCGGGTGCACTGCAGCAGATTTGTCGCTTCTTGTTAAAACTGAGGAAAAAAGGGGAAAGTGTTCGTTCCAGCAGAAGCAACATCAGAGGTTAAGGCGCTGTCTCAGGGGTCCTAGCTGGGCGCTTGGGACCCAGTCCCTGCGGCCCCGCACGCTGGGCAGCAGCGTGTGCCCCGCACAGCCCGGCCAGCGCAGGCGGTGCGCGGACCCTGCACATCCCCGCCCTGAGTGCGTCCTCTGTCCGCCCCGGCTGCGCTCCCATCACTGCTGCACACAATGGGGTCTTTTATGGGTGTCTTGTGAGGAGTGAATTCAGGGAGATTTGATGATTCACAGTTACTCTGCCAACTTTAAAAAATAACCCCGGCCCATTACACAAATAATTTACCTAGTGCAAGCAGGCGGCACAGAGGGGCATTCTGCATCTCAGTGGCTGTGGAAAGGCCTGGGGAGGAGGGAGAAAGAGCGAGCCCTTCCAGGGAAACGCAGCCAGAGCAGAACGTGAGGCACGGGCTCAGGGCTCAGCACTGTTGCTCCAACTCCAGGAGGACCGAGGCTCTCAGAGTCTCAGGGAAAGCAAAAAATGTGCTAGACCCCCGCTGGGCACAGGGACCACAGGGAAGGCACGGGGACAGTGGCTGTGAGCGTGGGTCAGTGTTTTGTGGCAGGGCAGGAGCACACAGAGAGCGTATACCAGTCCCTAGGGCGAGTTGCTGCATCCCCTGCCAGGGATCTGGGCAGGGGCTGGGCTGGGATGCTGTGTGTGACTGCCCTAAGCTGTGCTTGGAGCAGGGCTGGACAGGCAACACCAAGGAGAGTCAAGAGGTATCAAAGAATGATCCTCCAGGAACATCAGGTCTTCTGGAGAGGGTGCCACTGGGGTGTGAAATGATTGCTGTACACCAATGGTGTGTCATCTCCCAAAGCAAGGAAGAGCCAATTTACACAATGACCAGCAGAGTCCAGGGATGATGATGTTGTGTTCCTGCACAGCCAAGAACACCCTGGAGGAACCTTACAGTTCTGAGCTCGCCCTCCACAAAGAAAAAACAAACCAAACTAAGCAAGGAAAGAGAAGCACAGGCCATTTGATAAAGGATTCATCCTAGCAGCAGTCACTTCCCCTTGCAACACCCACAGGAATTCAGCGAGCAAGGACCAGCATTCCTGATAACCACCTGTGCCATAAGACAGATTTTGATTTTCTTGCCAAATTGGTTCAAACCTGTGAGGCCAGCTCTGTGGTCAAAGCTGAGTGTCTGAGAGCGTTAAGCATCTTTACTTTTTCCGGTAGTGAAATAAAAATCCCAGTCATGAAATGATCCAACAGTGCCAGGGGTTTCTGCTACTCAGATATCATAAAGAATAAAGAAGCAGCGATGGCTGAAGAAAAATAATCCAATCATGAATTAATGATCTTTAATAAATATCAATGTCTAAGATACTTTGTGGAATTTCTACTTGAAACAGCTTCTTAAAAGGAAGGATTACATTGTAATTCACTTTGTGACACTCTCAACCCAGAATTTTTTAATGAAGAATGGGATGGGATGGCATTTAATCATAATAAACACTTCAAGCTTGAGGTATAGAGAAACCAACAGTAGCTATGGCAACGTGGTCACTCCAGTAAGGCTAATGCAGATTATTTCCAGGGCAGTTGCCTTGTGTGTGCTCAGGAAGCAGAGGTAATGTTGGCTTAAAGCAATTCCTAAATTAAGGAAATTTTTTTAAGCAGAAGCTGTCTTGCACTCTTTGTTTCCAGCTTCAAACTGTAAGTGTTTCACAATGTGCTGAGCATACACACAGCAGCCTCAGCAGAGCATTGACCTGCTGCTTCCAGAGACACTCACCTTTGTCACCACGAGCTGGGCAGGCCCTCTGGTCATGGATTCACAGACTGCTTTGGGTTGGAAGGGACCTCGAGGCTCATCTCATTCCAACACCTGCCATGGGCAGGGACACCTTCAGTAGACAAGGCTGCTCCAAGCACTGCCCAGTCTTGAATACTTTCAGAGATGGAATGTCACCTACCCACTCTCACACCGGTGAAGCTTTGCCAGAGAAGGCTGGAGCCAGCCAGAGCCCACACCAAGCCACAGATGATACGGACACCAAGCTGTTTGATGAAACCCTTCACAACCTTACACGAGTGCCTGATACTCATCCCAGAGTAAGGCAGCTTGTCCATGACCCCAACTCTCCCTTGGTCTTTCTGCCTTCCTCAGGTCTCTGAAAGGCAGAATCCCTTGTACCATTCCTTGGGCTGAAGAAGTTTGGGAAGGGGGATGACTTTGGCCGTTGATATGTGGCTAACCCCTCTGCAGCCTCTCTGGGAAGTTGCTGTAAATCCCTGCCTGGTGATGGAAACTATTCCAGCCCAGGCTCGAGGGTCCCACGGAGGTGTGGGCTCTGCCTCAGGCTCACGAGGCCTGAGTAAACCAGCCACACTGGGACAGATTGCCCACGCAGGAAAGCACTCAGCTGCAGCAGGGTCAGCTGGAGGATAAAATCCATAAGAGCCAGGGCAGCAGAAGCCAGCCCTGCTGGCTGTCCCATGTGGGAATGGCATGGCTCTGACACAGCATGCTGGACAGCTGGGGAAAGGCTTCCATACACACCTTTTCCAGTGTAAGAGTAAACGAGCTGGAGACACGTAACACAGCAGCCATTGGTGCTGCACTACATCACCTTTGTTTTTTGAAGCTTACATCTTCTTTCCTGCCAGCAAAGTGCTGTTACCTTGTCATATTAACAGAAAACTGCTTCACGCTCTGTTCCCTTTTTTATATCCGTAGTGAGGTGCAGTTGTAGCTTGGCACTGATAGAGTTTCATCAATGGGTCCTGCCTTTGCACCCAAAATAACTGCAGCCAAAGATTTCTGTATGTGGAAATGCATGTTGTTTTTCAAGTAAAGTATCCCAGAAGTTTGCTTTTGATTTTTATTTTATTCAGGTCACCAACAGCTCAGTTGTAAGTAGCAAGGTATCTTCCAAAAATACATGTGTAGTATCCTTGAGGCCATGAATATTCAGAGAAGAAAAAGAGTGTTCTAAAATACACACCCACCTTGATCCCAGCCTTTTCCACTGCTGCCATCTTAAGCCCTTGTGGTACCAGTAGAATTCAGCTTTACACTGGTCAATAATTCAAGTCCCTGTAAGAAATGGGAATACTTACATGTGACTAAATGCATGAAGAGTTATGATAAACAACTTGGCAAGGCAACAGCCATTCTTCCCAGTAGCTCTAATCCTCCTGTAGAAGGCATTGGAGCCACCAGTGAGAGCCTGCTGTAAGTGCACGAGGCCGTGGCCACGCTGCACAGGGCTTAGCAGTGGTGAAAAGGCTCTCGTGAGCAGCTTCTGCCAGAGATGTGCAGCCTCGGTTTCCTCAGGGAGATTGCCCAGGCTCTGTGGTCAAAACTGCGCTTTCGCAGCCTCAGCTGGTGCTCAGCCGGCGGTGGGCACGCAGCACCCACGCCAGGCTCGCAGGGAGGACATGCCCTGCACAACCTGGCCTTTTAGTGTTGGCATCCGAGGTGTGAAACCCCAGTGCTGCTTAAGCCTTGCCCGTGGGGTGGCTTGCAGCCCTCTGCCCTCTACTACATATGGCCCCAAAGAAGTGCTTCTGCAGCTCTCCAGGAAAAGCAGCAGGAGCTGTTTCTGTTTATTCTGCTGGGCCGTTTCCACAGCTTTGATCTTGTGCTAAACCATGGTGGCCCAGACCCCTCTTGGGCCCATCCCTCCTGTGCACACCGTGCTGAAGCTGAAGCTGCCAGAACCAGATTGTTAATTATACTCCCACTGATTGAGAGGAAAGCTAAATATGTAATAATTTATGTCCATCAGTCACCACCCCCTCTTTCTCCATTATTATTGTTCCTCTCTGCCTCCATTTTCTTCCATTTTCCCCCATCCTCTCCCTCCCCAGGGGTGAGGATACCCCACCCTGCACTCCTGAGAGCTGTGGCTTCCACCATCCAGCGTGGTCCCACCATCTCCTCTTCCACCATGTGGGCACAATTCTCTTCAAGTTTGGGTACAAACCTCTGCTGTTTGGTGCAGTGGGATTTGCAGTTTGGTTATGACCTGACCCGTGCTTTGCTCTCGTAGGATGGTGCTGTTCTCCCCTGGTTATGTTTCCCAGGGGTTCATCCCAGTGCCAGAAGCAGTCATGTTTTGTGTCATCTCAGACTGACTCCACTGGCCGTTCTGCCCTCAGCCCTGCAGCGCTGAGCTCCCTCAGCCCTGTGGTACCCAGCACACACAGGTGACAGTCACACACAAAGTGACAGAGCTCAAGGCTGTCCCCGTGCTCTGGAGCTCCGTGGCCAGGGCTGGGGCTCTGCAGGTGGCAGCTCCTGACGTGAGGCAGGCCCATGTCAGGCGCTGCTCCGCCGGACCCGGGCTCTGCACGTGCAGACGTGACCCCAGACGTGCAGCTCCGTGGCCTCCTCAGGCTCTGCCCCACAAGGAACAAGGCTGTGGGGAGGGAGAACTGAAATGCAGCAGTTTTAACATTTTTAAAACCAGTTTTAACATTTCCAAATCCAGATGACCTCTGTTGCAGTTACTCAGATTTTACATTTCTGGTCTGTGCCACCGGCTAACACTGAACTTTGCCGAAACAGTACTTGCCAAGAAGTGTTTGTTTATTTTTAAAGAATATCAAGGCTTTGGGGATTTTGGTACAGAATATGATTTGTGGGTAAAATACATGATGTTCACATGCAAAAGAAATAAGGCCAAGAAACCCAGTGTTTATAATGACCCACTGGATTTAAATAAATGGATTTAATTGGTTTCTGAGGGGAAGGAGGAAAGAGCAACACAGGAATTCTTGTCACACGATTTCCA